AGAACTCTCGACGGGGACGAGTACGCCCGTTCCCGTTTGCCTCTCTTTAAAGGTTTCGGACGGATCGCTCTCGGAGATGCCGCAAACTCTCGGCGGAGGCTGAGTACACCCAACCCCGTTTTCTCTCTCTTTGCGCGGTTAAGGATCTAGGCGGTTTCCAGGCGTCTTACAGACTCTGGCGGTGCGGAAGATTTGGTCCCGATGTTCAGAAACGCGCTCTATTTATACCGGTTTTCGGCGCACGCGTCTGCGTAATTCGCCTATTGTTCTTGCTTGCTTGCTTAGGTATAGGGTTGGCTCCGGCGAGTACTCGCCATACGGCCATAAACTGGTTATAGGTACTATATAGGATAGCTACGCACTGAGCCACCAGAGGCCCCAAAATGCCTATTGTTCTAATCTGGTTTATCGTTGAACCGGCGCGCGCGACTCGGGTATTTTCGGTAACGGTCGGGCGGTTACCCAAGCGCGTCGTCGGTTCTCGATGTTTTCGCGCGCCTAACAGCGGTTAGATGTTTACGCGTTTCTGTTGTTATTTAAAAATGGGCGCTTAGCGCCTCCGCATTTGCCCGACCGGTGTTCGTCGGGCGGCGGACTTCCGGCGAATCGGCGGCCGGGTACGGTTTAGTAACGATGGGGGGAATGCATCGTTACACATGGAGTATTGAGTGTTGAGATTTTTATTTATGAAAAAAGACGTTCAATTATTGTGACCAACCGACTTACCACGTATGTGGCAACAGTGTATGTGCTCGGAATCGGCCAGAAAATTGTCATTTGTCTTTGAGTCGAAGCAGAGAGCAGAGCAGAGCAAAGAAGTTGAAGACAAATAACAATTTGCCAAGATGTAAGTACTTTATCCTATGTATATATATTTATTTAGAGAAAAAGAATATATTATCAATATATAATAACAATATATTATTACAATTTATGAATCATGTAACGCTTGTATAAATGATAATAATGTATAATGTTATTCAAATGCATATCTTTCTCTTCCTCAATATCTTTCTCTTCCCTCTTTCTCTCTCTCTCTCTCTCTCTCTCTCACTCCACAATAATTTTCATTATATTTTACATATATTTGCAGCACGAAGCGAAGGCAGTCTGCCTGCAAAAGTAGGACGAAGGACGACAGCGACGGCAACGCAGGCGACGACGGCGGTACCGACGAAGATACCGGTGGCAACGACGGCAACGAAGTCGACGACGACGATGACGTCGACGAAGTCAACGACGGCGACACCGACGAAGATGCCGACAGCGAAGGAGGCCACGGCGACTTCGTCGCCGACGACGACACCGACGGCGAGGGAGGCCACGGCGACGGCGCCGACGGCGAGGGAGGCCACGGCGACGGCGCCGGCGCCGGGTGCAAGAAGAGCGATGGGACCGGGCCCGAGAATGGGGTACAACGTAAAAAAGGTTAGTTTTATTTAATTATACATATTTCAATAAATTATAAGAAATAGAAATATATATATATTATGATTGGATAAATAATCTATATGTATATATGCATATATGTGTCGCGACAGTGCTAAAAACGCCGAAAATTTAGATTATAATATGTATATTTATATTTATATCGAAAAGAAAGAAAATCAAAATATACAGCATTGTGATCGGATAAATTTGTAGCGTTTTTATCACCGTCGCGCACGATACATACATGTATACATATACACAGATAAATTATCTAATTATTATATTGTATATCTTATTTCTTATAATTTAGGATAAATGTTTTTATTTTTTTAACGTATAAATAATGCGGTGCGACGTGCCGTCAATAAAGAAAAGAGGAAGGCCAAAAAACAACAGCAAAAATACGTTCCCGGTATGCATCATACTCAGCAATACATACCAGAGACGTACACACCGGCAGCGTGCACAGGATACGTATCCGTAGCACCAGGATACGTGCACACAGCCATGCCCATATCGGCACCTGCATACGTGCCGCCCGCCTCTAATTATATGTTCGCACCATCCGCACCACCCGTCTACATGCCGGTATCTACACCATCTGGATATATCACTTCGATGTCTGCGATGCCATCCGGATGTATACCGCCCGCATCTAGTTATATGTCCATACCATCCGGATACGGGCCCGCACCATCCGGATACGGGCCCGTACCATCCGGTTACGTGCCCATGCATCCAGCACCAACTGGATACATGCCTGCGGCTGGACCATCAACATACGTGCCCATACCGCCCTCAAATTATACATTTATGAAATAAAAAAAAAAGAAACATAAAAATAAATATAATTGTATACACACACACACACCCACACACACACACACACACACACCACACATAAAAAATAGAAATAAAATTATTTTAATTACATTTTTTATTTAATCTTATTTTTTATTCCCATATCCACATTCTATTCTTCCTTATAAAATAAAAATAGTAATTTAATAAATAATAGTACATAAATTTAATTTAGTAATACATAAGTATTTTTTTAATATAGAGTGAATATGTAATATACAATCACTTTTTTCAGTTTTATTATTATTTATATTATTATTATTTATATTATTTAATTTACGAAACAAAAGAAATTTTTGGTACATATTTTATAGTTTATATTATCAAATGTTAGCCAAACATAATTACTTCCACATTTATAATTTTTATTTTAAAAGAAAGTTTAGTTTTTTATAAATATAATGCTTATAAATATATACATTCACACATAAGCTTATAAATATACACGTTTCTCATATAACAAAACCATGTGCATATTATACACTGAAATAATACTATTATTTGTATGCCACTATATATGCATGTTTGACAACATAAACAGATAAAATATATCAAACTTTCTTTTTTTATTCAGAAATAAATATTGCTGTAAGTAATAATCAATTGTTATAAAGAATATTTTCATTGCAAATGTTAAAAAATATATGTACATGTATTCAGAATAGTAAAATAGAAGAAGAAAGTAATTTATTGCATATTTTATATGTATAAAAATGTATAATCATAAAAAATTTATTTATTTCCATGTAGTGAGATGAAAGCAGAAAGGATAAAAGATAAAAGTGCGAATAAAAAAATATAATAATAAACATGCAGAGAGAGAGAGAGAGAGAGAAAGAGAAAGAGAGAGAAGCGCGAGTGAACGCGTAAGTGAATATGCGAGGAGCATGAAGCTAAGCGATACGTAGTACATAGCGAGCGAGCGATTAGAAAAAGACAGAGCGTATGATCGAGATTGAAAAGATTCTGCAATAATGTTAGTGCCTATATGTATATTACTCTCCACACATGAAAGAGACAAAGATAGTACGATTATGTCTGTCCTTGTCAGCTCAATAGATTGCAGCTTCTTTTATCACGCTACCCGGCAACTAATCTATTGCTCTGTTTTACTCCTCGACATCGATTTCGCACACACACATGTACACTAAATCAGTTCATATACTAATCTTTTTACACAGGCTTTCAAGCTCATTTCTATCAGTCTAGTATTATTCTCTCATGTTATCCTGAATGCGGGCACTATATCTTTTGCACGAACAAACTGCAGAATTTTTATATTAAATAAGTATTGTTACGACCTGATGCAAGAGGCCGATAAGCCAACTAATTATTTAACTTTTTGGGTTTTTTTACATTAATTTATAGCGCCCGCACATCGTTATTATGAGTACTTTAATTCTAGAAAAGGATTTTTCATTCTGTATAGCCAATAAAAAGATTAGTACTTGAACTCATTCTTCGCGTTTTTATCGGTAAAACAGACCTTTGAGGATTCCCTTAATCACAACTCTTAATCACAACTTATAATCTTCGCGAAAACCCAGTAGTATGTTTAGCGGCATGCATAAATTGAAGTAAGCTTCAGCAGCATTATGCGATATATTCCATGCAGCATTCTCCAAGATTTTACCCCTCTCGGCTGTTAGAGAGACATAGTTTTTAATCGTGGAAGTTATTCCAACGTTCCTGTTGCAATCAATCTGCACACCGTTGAGTTCATATCGAAGTTCATCAAACATAAACGCGACACAATTGTTTCCCAATATCACTCTTCCCCCTTCAGCTACTTTACGCACCATCAACTTTCCCTCGACGTATAGAAAACTTTCACATAATAACGTGTACAAATCTTGATGTTGTATCGGTATCTGTATCTCATCGCTATATCCAAGCGTTGTGTTGGCGTATGGATTGTACGTATGAGTCTCAATCTTGACGATATGATCGTCGAAGATCGGCCCGCCTCCGATATTCAAGATGTCAATCATATTGTTCAAGTATTTCGTACGACGAATCCCAATGATTTTAAAAACTCGGTATTCAACGCGCTGAGCTTCTTTTTTGCGTAACCTGATATCTGATTATTGTCACCCGATACTGCAGTCACTCGCCTTCTCGCAAAAATATTGTCCCTCGCAAAAATATTGTCTCTCGCGTGCTCCGTGCTTTCGATCAACACAAGCATTTCATTTGTCGAACGCTTTATTTTTGCCGCCGCCGTATATGCAATCTTACGGTAATTTCCTCTCCTCGAAAATCGAGCAAATGTCCTTCTTGATCAACAATGCGTATCGTTAAATCAGTAATGCTCCGTGCGACGATCGGTAGATAAATGATCTGTGCTGGCGTTTCCGATATCTTATATCCTGGCGGCACGCTCGGTGAAAATTCATGTATCGTGTGTACGCGCTTGTCATTGCTGTACGCGCCAGTGGTTACGCTGCATTCTATACGAATAATATTTACGCTAATAATATTGATCGGTACATCCGATCGTGCCATTTCCGAGGTTGTAATATACGATTCGACGAGAATCCCAGGTTAGTCGCTATTGATACATCGATCGAGCAACGTCTAAAAATTTTTGTCCGGGCGCAACATGACGACGACGATTGACAGTGACGATTGTAAGAAGATTGCGAAAGAGATTGTAAAAACGAGCGAATCAATCCGCAAAAAATATCGTTCTTTAAAAGCTGGTCAAATGGAGGAAGACGTCGCATTGGAGAAGCACTTTAAACCAATTATCGAACCTCTAAAACAACTTGTCGAAAATACAATCAATGTGGAATCTAATGAAGCGAAAATCGAACCATCGAGTATGCTCGAAGACAAGCATCTGAAAAAAGAGTCTGGAACAAAGCGAACAAGGTCAAATATATCATTGAACGATTCGCTAATAACTTCTACTCCAAATCAATCAAAACGTAAGCGAATGAAACAATTATCGAATGTGGTTACTTCTACTCCGATAAAAGATGTACAATCAAGTCAAATATTGCACGAAAGACCGTCCCTACCTGTGGAAGAAATTTTCGAAACCACGCCTGAAACTCTTGTTACATCGGTTCAACATCTATTACAAACATCCGAGGGTCAAAGTACATTGCGCGCACACTTGGGTCCACTAGGGCAAAAATATGTGGAAGCTATTTTAAGTCAAGATAAAAATAACAGTATGGATTATGTTTACGGTGTTAAATTTTGCAACGAAGGAATGATACTTGGTGATAAAATTTTTGATATGGATAAGATCCACTATTATAAGTAACAAGGGATACAAGTATAAAAATATAGTAGCGCCAATAATCTCTATTAATCTAGAAAAAAAACTGGAAGAGGTATAAACATACCGCGCTCTATGACGTTAAACGATAATAAGATCGATTAGGTGCATTGGAATGATCCCAACGAGTTGGTAGATCGCTTGCGATTGCTGGAAGCTTCGCGTCAAGCCGGCGATAATGAAATATTATCAATTATCGAGGAACTTTGCGAAGCTGGCACGCTCGAGACAAATATGCAGATGCTGCAAATAATGATGGATGAGATGCAGAAAATGCTTCGGTATGCAACTCACGCGCAGACTACATCTAATTCAGTGCAGTAGAAGAAAGATATATAAAGAATATACGTGGAGGAATTATCTCATTATTGCAAATTATGCCTCGATTAAATATGTCGCAAAAGACCTCTGAAAAGCAGCTGCTCGTGGAAGAACTGCATGCTCCAGCGAGAAAAAATTCCCCACGTAGACATATCATAGTACGCGGATACGACGATCTGTGGCAGGCGGACGTGGTCGAGATGCGTGCATATGCACGATTCAACAAAGGCTACAACTACATACTCACAGTTATCGATGTGTTGAGCAAGTATGCGTGGGCTGTACCGCTCAAGAGTAAAGACGGAAGCGAGACGGCTGACGCTATCACAAAGATATTTCAAGCCGATGGAAGATATCCGAAAAATTTTCAAACCGACAGAGGAAAAGAATTTTACATCGCAAATGTACAGAAACTCATGAAGACATACAACATTAATCATTATTCGACGTACTCTATCATGAAGCCTCGGTCGTGGAAAGATTCAACCGAACGTTAAAGAACAATATGTGGAAAATGTTTACGCTTAATGGAAATTACAAGTGGATCAGAGCGTTGCCCTGGCTCGTTGATGAATACAATGCACGAAAACATCGCACTATCGGTATGAGGCCTATCGATGTTACCCCCGCGATCGCCGATAAACTTTTAAATACGGTATACAGCAACGTAAAGATTACTGCACCAGCAAGATTCAAAGTAGGCGATCCAGTACGCGTGAGTAAATTCAAGACCATCTTCGACAAAGGTTATACGCCAAATTGGACGACCGAAGTGTTTAAAATCGTTAAAGTACAGAAAACTAATCCCGTGATCTATGTACTCGAAGATTCGCGCGGAAATCCCATCGCCGGCGGATTTTACGAATACGAGTTACATCGCGTTGCTAATCCCGACGTACATCTCGTGGAAAAGGTGATACGCAAAAAGGGCGACGAGGTTTATGTGAAATGGCTGGGATTTGATGCAACGCACAATTCTTGGATACATAAAAATAATATATTATAAATATGTTAACAATAATACATAATATTTTACAAATATAAACAAAATTGTATACATTATAAAATATACATATAATTTACAATAAATATACATATAATTTTTGATAGCGCCATTATTTTCATCCTTCATTAAACCCGGTATCTTTTTATTCGCGAGCGGTATACCGTAGACATTGTCCACCGCATAATCGCAGTAGATAAGTATGGCCGGTTCTAACCCACTTTGCTTTGGAAACTCCCCGTAAGAGTGAGAGTGTGAACATGCGGATAAAGTGAGAAACTTAGATATCTGAGGAAGCCATGTCGGGCAGGGGAGAAGAAAAGAGGGAGTACGTATGGTGAGAGGGGAAGCGGGGTTGAGGGGGGTCGGGGAAGCCATGGAGCTCGAGCGTGGCGAGAGGGGCGAGGGTTAGGGGGTGATGAAATCGGGTCGAGAGATCGCGTTATCGCGTCAGGTGCGTTAAAGACGCGAGACGCGGTCGACGCTTTATCTCCGACCTTGGGAGTCGCGATGACCCGTGACACGTAAATACGATAAATCGAAGACGACGAGATGAGAGAATATCGCGGGCGGCGAACCTCGGCGCGATACGAGAAGCGCTTGTCATCGTTGTGCCTACCGATCGATTTTTCCGATCGACGCGTCGCGGTTGTCGCTTTATCTCTGACCCGATGACCCGGTCTGTCGCGATGAACCGTAACATGTAAATACGGAAAATTGAAAATGATTAGATAATAAAATATCGCGGGCGAGTCTCGGCGCAATACGAGACTCGTCGCGCGTACCGCGTAGATCTAGAAATAGATCGATGGATAGGTCAGGATTTAGCGTGGTTATAGCGTGGAAAAAACTAGCTGTCGTAGCTAAAAACTGCGTATGATAATTAGATTTCAGTCGTAATATATGAACAACAAACATCGTATCGTTAACCGAGATACTTATTTATTACATAGGTGAAACAGCGAACATCTCTCAATTAGCGGTGATACTCGTTTATTACGCGCAACAGCAAACTTTCTATAGTTTAGGAATGTATCATGCAAATCATGATTAGCGATGGTAGCGAAAATTTTTCCATAAAATCTAATGGAAGGAGGTCAAATAAAGAGAGGTTCTCGCATCGAAGGAGAGCGTTTTTATTTGTAACAGTACAGAGATACAGTAGCGCGTTAGGATTCTCCGAAGAGCAGAGCCTGCAGTTCGCAATCGATTATATCGTTGCGGTCGAAGTTCTCGCTGTCGCGTATCGCCGTCGGAATAAGCGTTCGATCGTGGACGTCGGCCGCGATATCGAGGAAGCGCGTTAGCTTGTTATTGATGTATCCGGTTAAACCGCTCAAAATTGTAATGATGCGGTTGATGCAATGCTTCAAGTTTAATATATTTAGCACGGTGCTCCTCGATACGACTAGACGATCCTTAGGTGTTTCGAGACGGAGTATTCGGAGATTGTTAAATTTGCCGAATCGCAACGTTAATTGTCCGATATATAAGCATACGCTTTAGTGTACGTCGTCGACTATGAAGTGTCTAATGACTCGGCAATCTTTATATACTCGCGTAGAGATCGCTTCTCCTTCCGCGCACGTCTTTCGCTCCTTTTTATCATATTCTATTGTTACAATTACATTAGAGCGATGGCGGAAGTCGCTTCATCAGTCGTCCTCTTCGTCGATCTCGTCGCTCTCGGTTCCCGTATGTGTGTTTATCGCGGCGTTGATCTTAGCGTCTCGGGGAAGTCCGATATCGTGGAGAAATCTCGGCCTACCAGGTTTTAGCTTAAAACTGGGATATTCCGCGACGTAGATCGAATCGTTAACGAATAGCGCGAGATCGCCCGAGGGTCTTCGATATGAGGCGGACAAGCGCGTGAGATTCGCCGGAAGAAACGTCGCGTAATCCGTCAACTTCATGGGTCTACCGTAGCGTCTCTCTTTTGTTCAGATACACGTGCCACGGTTCCGCGTCGTCGATGTGCATCTCTGACGCGAAGTCGACCGCGTGAGCGAGGACTCCACCCGAACCGTCAAAGGCCGCCGGGTAAATGTCGCCGCTCAGACGATTCGCGTAGGTGTGCGCGTCCGTTCGATACGATATCAGTATATCGGGATGTAGCGGGTCGCGCGCAAACGTTAACGATTAATTCACCGTCCATAACGCGAACGCCGCTTCGACCGTTCTTAAGAGTTCTTTGCTAGCCACTTGAAAGTTCCACGTGAGACGCGTTTTCGGCCATTTTCGCGCGATCGGGCTATACGCGCGACCGGGAATGTCCGCGAGACCGCATTGCGGTTTGCGCATAAGACGAAGCGTATCAGGGTTTAACGCACCATTTCCTGATAATTGATAGTATTCTTAAAACAGCGACAGCGCGTGACGCAGAGACGTCGCGTTGTCGGACGACAACGATCCTCCATCGTCCTTCAGAAAACCGTACGCGCGCAGGAAGCGGAGCGCCTCTCTCTTCTCCGAGTCGACGGGCGTCGCGGTTGTCGCGGCGACGAGCGTTATCGCTAGGATGAGAACAGTCATCGTCTTCTTCGCGGTGGACATCGCGCGGGTCGAGAGGGACGCGGGAAACGATCGATCGAGAAATATCGGACGTAATAAGAAATGTTCGACGAAACGCTTATTTTTGTCTCTATCGCGCAAATCTGGGGTAGGGGGGAAATAAGATCAAGTTAGGTTAGGTTGTGACCGGACAAACTAGTCGAGATGGAGAATCTTACACAGAATACAGGTTTTCCTACCTTATTTAACGGTCGCAAGTTTGTTTGACCATCCAACAAACAAGAAATGCCCTCGGACGACGCCCCGTCAGGTCTGCCGTCGGACAGGTTGCTCAGCGTCAGGATTGCGCTGCTATTCTCGCCACTGTGTATCTGCTTGGCTGCTCGGGAATTTTTCCTAATCCTTTTCTTCTTTTCTGTTTCAGGTCGCCGCTGGATTCACCGGATCAACGCCCATGGATTTCTGGACTACCCACTGGTTATCACTGGATCGACGCTTCGAAAGATACGTCGAATGACGCAATTTGTCCGCTGCTAAACGGTTGGACAAAATTCCTCTTTCGTTGTTAATTCCTTTCTATTCTGCTTCAGGTCGTCGCTTGATTCACCGGATCAACGCCCATGGATTACTGGACTACCACTGGATCGACACACGGACACAGGAAAAGGATTTCGCGACTTCGAGGTAAATCAATAACTGTTACACTTGTTTAAATATATAAATATATAAAATATATTTAAACGAAAATATAAAGCTTTTTTAAAACTTCTTGTACAAACTCTCGCGAATCTCTACAACTCGGAGATCTATCGCGCTCTATTTCTCAAATAAAATAAAACTGCTTTTGTTATTATTAGTATCACGAATCTCTTCCACGCACAAGAGATTTTGTTTCGCGACTATCCTCTTTAACTACTTAAAAAACCCGCAAGATCTCTTTACTTTGGATGCTCGGTTTCGGGAAAAAAGGTCTCGAATCTTGCTCTGCACGGCCTCTTATAGCTGTTTCCCACTCCGGGACTCTCCCACTCACAGCCATCCCTTCTCCTGTCCGCAGCTCGGCGGCTTGGCTTTCGCGCATGCGCAATCTTATAATTTCTAAATAATTCCTAATAACGCTTATTAACGCTAACTATCGCTTCTATTTGCTTAATCTATCGCTAAATAAAATGTTTAAAAACTTTAGGCATTATATTATAAATATTTAAATTAAAATATATCTTATCGGTAAAAGTAACGAATAAAATCTGCTTAAAATGTCACAACTAGGCTTAAATATAGTCTAACAGTTTCTTAAAACTATACGCATGCTAAAATTATATGTTTTTTAAAATTATCATCTACACTCGAAAAGTGCAGGCGAACTACACTTCAAGTGTAGTTCTCCAGGTACTAAAATCTCGCGCTTTACGCTATCACCGCGCTCTATAATAAAAAATAAAAATGTCGTTCCCAATCACTGTCGCTGTCCGACCTTTGGAATTCCGGACGTAGCTTGGTTGTTTTGCCCTTTGAAATCGTCAGGATCGGCGATTTGCTCTCCTGCCTCCCCGTGGGCGATGATGACTTGTCCCCCGGCTTCATTACCCCCTCCAAGGGGCTTTGTCGAGGGCTTGCCACTCGGCGAAGTTCCTTTCGCGGTTGGTTGCTCTCGTCCTTATTATAATTATTCTTCTTTGAATTAGGCATTTGTATGTTTACCGCTTCCTTCAGCGGTGCCTTAAGTTGTACGTTGCTGATTATTTTTGGTCTTTCTTTATTTATAGGTGCATCGCCATTTTTGTTTTCTTTATCTTCGCTTTCTGATTGGCTGGGATTAATTATTTGCATCCTGGATATATCGCCTGGTACGACAATGTCGTTCTTTTCGATGTACATAACGGTTCTTGTCACATCGTTTTCGTCAATCTTGAAATTGAGATTTATTGGTTTCGTGGTTGTTATTTCTTTCTTCAATTTTTTTATCGAAATTATAGAGGTTAC